TATATATATATATATATTAAAATCTTGCTTTGTGCTTCCTCAGCTTTACAGTTAGTTTTTTCCTGTTCTGTCTCATCGTCACATGTATTGTATTTTTAATTTAAATTTTGTTTCGTCAGTTATCTCAATTCATAACTTTTCATTTCTAATTTTATAAATTTAACTTTAATCAAACCATTTATTTATTTTTAATTTTTATTTCCAATTTATCTATTTGTAGACCGGCATGAAAGATGAAGGAAGACCAGTAATATTTTTGTCTCTGAGTGGGTGGGTGGGAGGGGGCAGGGCGTAATTGTGTCATTGGCAAAATATCCCATGAACCATTCAAAGGATTTAATTTTAATCAATTAATCACTGAGTTGGCATCTACAACTGATTTATATTTGGAGTCAACCTGATTCAAAATATCCGCCACTTCAAAAAGATCTGAACAAACAGTTAAATAACTGTGACTCAATCAGTGTTTTTCAGATATCGAGCTAAAATTTGGTGCAGTTGGAAATGAATGACCCCTAGTAGTAACTGACTGCATGGGATTTTTTTTTTTTTTTTCCAGCCTTTAGTTTTTCCACTTAGAGCAATGTTTGCATTCAGTCAGTTCAGTTTATTTACTATCATTCAGAATTTAACTTATTTTGTCAGTTACAGTATTTTTCACCCTATGAGTCGCAGGTTTTTGCATAATTTGCATGCCCTGTGACTTATACGCCGAAGCAACATATTTATAGATTTGTTTCCATATTTATAAACCAATTTTTGACAGAGATATGACTGTTTTCATTTATTCTGACTGAAAATATTGAACACTACCATTTTCAGCCGCAAGATGACGCTCGAATAGGATGGCATGCCGTTGTGTCATGTAATATGTAAAAGTGGCTATTAATGAGACAATCGGCTTGCCATAGCCTGACACCTTCTTTCTGCTCGCTGCTTGGAGCAACCGTCAAATCAGCTTCGCTGCCCCGGAGAAATGCAGCTAATTTGACCATTAAAGTGCATTTATTAAGTAAAAGTTCAACTGAGACACACCTTTGCTATAATGTCGAGCAAATAAATAATTGTTTTATGTGCTTATCTTGTTAAATATCGAAGAAATGCACAGCGTTTCTCACTCCTGAATTTCTCCCTGTCTGTGCGCTCCCGGAGCACCGAGGCGTCGACTACTTTTGAAATGCAGCTGATTTGACCGTCAAAGTGCATTTATTAAGCAAAAGTTAGACGGAGACACACCTTTGCTATAATTTCGAGCAAACAAACAATTGTTTTTAAGTGTTAATCTCGTTAATTTCTTGATAAAGGCCTCCCGTGCACGCTCCCGCGGCCGCCATTTGGCAGCCAATTGATTTTTGGCACAACACCAGCTCACATTTCCGGGTCGTGTGGGCTAATGACAGCAGTGACACATAATAGATGTGACATATATGACAAAGCAACATATTTATGTATTTTTCCACTTTATTAGACATATTTGGACTGATGCGACTTATAGGGCGTTGCGATGTTTACGTCAGAAAATATGGTCATTTCTTTTTCCTGAATGCATACTTTTGCTAAGCCAGCCTTGGTCTTCATTCTGCTCCTTTTTGCCCACTGCTAAGTAAAAAGTTTTATTTTCAGTCTTAACCATTTGCTGTTGTGTTCCTCTAACAGCAGCTTTTGCCTTGTTCATTTCCAGGATGTTTGTACGTCACATCATTAAACTAAGCTTTCAGGTTTTCTCGCTCTACCCAAACTCCGCTCTCCTCCTCTTTACCCTCTCATCAGAGATGCATGCTGGTCCCGCCACCATTTGTCATCATCATCATCATTTCCCTGTTTGCTGTTGTGTCCTTGTTCAAAGAGGCTGCGTTGATAATAGCTTGTCTCGTTTTCCGCCTCAACTCTAAACACCACGTCACAGACTTTAACGGGTCCTGTTCACGCTGCGCTAACAAACCAAGGGCAAACTTGTCCTTGCCTTACCATCACCACCACTTTCTCACATAGTCATTCACCTGCAAAGGCATGCATAACCTTTTTATTAACGTTGTATTGAACATGCTCTCATAGATGTAAACTTACAGATGAAGTTAAAACTGCCTCATAAATATTTGAGCTTTGAGACGGTGGGTAAAAAAAACAGGTAAAAAAAAGTGAACGTTCTCAGAAAGAAACATTACATTTAACTTTTAACTGTGATGATGCAGGAGCATGTGTAAATGGATGCAATGCAGAAAATAAACTAAAGTAAGAACATTTTCTACAAAAAGCATGTGAATACTGAGTGCTGAAAGATTTAGCTGAAAAAAGCTGAAGAAGCTTAAACCTCAATTCCACTAGTTTAGGTTGCAAATATCTTGAAGATTATTTTACTTTTATTGGTACTGTAGTATGACATATAGGGAAATATATTCATACTTTTCACGAGTTCCTCATCTTTCTGACTGTATAAATGTCGTGCATTGAATTTTAACAGAAATGTAACGAGAGACGTTATTTATGTTTGACCCATCAAATGAATGCGGTCATTTATTTTCAGAATCAAAGTTTAACATCGAACATTTACATTAATTTTGGCAAAATATGAAAATAATAACAGACAAGTTTCACAGAAAATGAACTTCAATCACGCGGCGGTGATTGAGGACTTAGCTTCAGATATTTCTAAATATCTGTACTGATTTTAGGAGAAAGCAGAGTTTAAGATGGAAATGGAGATTTATCTTACAGAGAGATTTGTGAGGGAATTAATCTGTTTGACCAGAAAACGTGCACGCTCCATCAGATCTCAGCTGGCCTCCGGTACACTTAGTCGAAAATAGAACCTTCTACCTGGTTGACGATGAAATCAGCGTCGGCGTAGGTTCCTTTCTGACTCTTTCAGCGTCTCCGTGAGAACTGCCAAACCCTTAGAGAGTCGTACGAGGTTGTTCAAACAGAAGTTATAATCCCAAAACGTCTCTGGATCATCCTGAACGCGTTTGCACCCAAGAACTCTGACTCCATCACTCTGTGCACTCTCTAGTTGAACTCATTTCTGAGTGCAGCAACACAGCAACCAACAAACTCCAGCAACTCAGCGTCTCAGCCTCCCAGCCTCTGTATGAACTGGGAAGTTGCCACATTTCAAATGGGTCGACTTCCGGGTCATTTGAGAGCTTTTTGATTGGTCGATGGACCAGAAATAGAGGTGTGGTTTGTGATGTAAGATGTTATTAAAAAGTCAAGGATTGTTTTAGTGACAAACAGAAAGATTATTGTAGGACTTCAGACTTCGTGGAGTCTCACTCTTATTATCTTCTGAAAAAGTTTAAACATGACATTTTTCTCGGTAAACATTTTAGTTGACCGAGAACCGACCTTTAACATATTTACATTGCAGACAGAAAAATCAAGAAATGCATATTAACCTGATTTCTTCTTTGAATGAGGAATAAAAATCATTACTTACTGTTTATGAAAAATAAAAATGAGTAGTTTTCTTCAACCTGTAAACATTGAGTAAACTAACACAATTTGATTATCAAACATTTGTAAAATAGTAATGATCATAGAGAATTGTCTTTTCTGCTTGATTAATTCAAGAAAGAAAGTCACCAGATGGCTCAAACTGTATTTCTGGATACAGATCAATGAAATAACAGTCACTGCTCATCTGATCAAGATTTGAGGTCAGATCAGGTTCAGATCAGGTTCACTACAGTACTGTATGTATTTTTTTTATATATGTTCCAACTTTTTACTATAGTCAAAATCATTGGGAAAAAAATGGACGAGGTAACTTATTGCAGAACCATCTGTGGAGTCGTTGGGATGATATGAGACAGTCGCAAAAAAAAACATTTTCCATATAAAAAGTTTATACATGAACATTATAAAGATCCAACATCTCGCCATGGACAAATATTGTTCATTTAAGAAATAACTGTGCAAACACAGGTGTTTTGTGAACATAAAATGAAGGGTAAAATTAAACATACTATATTTGTAATGTGTAGCTCTCACTCATGACTGGAGCCAAACTCTATCACGTCTATCTTCAGGACCTTGAACAGAAATTCAAATTCAAAAATACTTTATTAATCCCAGAGGGAAATTATTTTTTGTTGTAACTCGTTATCCTCATTTTATTAAGAGATGTTATAGATGCTGATGGCTGTAGACAGGAAGGATCTCTTGTAAAGGTCCATCCCACAGTGGATCCTAAGAAACTGGCTGCAGATGCCATCTGATCCGTCCACCCAGACTCGGCTGGCCTCTCGGTTCCCCCGGGCTGTAGGACCGCCCGAATGCTGGGCAGAACTCCTCCCAGCAGTCTGCAGAGCTCCTCGTCCCTGTGGACAGCCAACTGTAGGTGTCGAGGGACGATCCTGTCCTTCCACTGTCATGAGCCGTGTTTCCTGCTAGTTCCAGGATCTCAGTGATCAGGCACTCGAGCACAGCTGGCAGGTAGATGAGAATGCGTCCACAGAACATCCTTTTCAACTCATTTGAGATTTGGGGCTGTAGTTGAGATATTATTTGAGCTTTAAGATATTAATCAGCTGCTGTTGGTTGTAGAAAACTGCATTGTTGCCATGGTTACGCATCATAACAAATGTCCAAAACTAAAAAAGTTTCAGTAAAAATCCTTCCAGCTGCACAGCATCCGATACCAGA